GTCTGAAGCAGCTGTGAGTAGATGATGAATGATTGATCTTGGGCTGAATATTCGGCGATGACCGTTGGCCTTCGATCGCTCTAATACATCTGCTCGGGACTCGGCAGTCCAGTCAGTCACGTTACGGTTGTAGTGTGTGCTTGAGGCAAAGAAGAAGAGAAATTCTCGATCAGAAGACGTTGACATGATCAATACGATAGAAACAGATCAGGAGGCCCCTTTGATATATGGTTATACTGTCATGAATTGGCGACCAAACAAAGGTTCTGCCTGTACCACGAGTGACTCCACGGGAACAACTGTAGACGGTTTCGTTCTCCTCAAGAACGAAAATCCATAAGTATTGTTACCACTGGAAAGAAAAAGAGTCGTTTCCTTCATTCCGGAATCTTGGTCTACCAATGGTTCGATTGTTGCAAAGGCACATTCGATTATGTCAAGTTCTTAACTGGAATAGAAGAGACGCTATTTCATCTTGATCAGATTGTTTCCCAATTCGGTTCCCCATCCGGCTCATCCGTTTGATGGCATCTATTAGTCTCACAATCAGAAACACCCAAAATTGGAACAACTCCAAAAGCATCTACTATCATCATGCTAATTGACAGCATAATTGGCTTCGCTTTTAGCTTCCAGGCTTTCCACATATTCGCGACGGGGCGAGAAGCACGGATCCACGGTCACTACAGATGAGACTGTATCGTCCTTCGAAAGCTTGGATAGCCTGGAGGCAGCACCAAAGAGCATCCTCAAGAAAACGAGCTACATCTCAAGCACCGATGAGACACGCTTTCGCGCCTCCTCGATGAATCAACCCATTCCCAAATCTCTTCCGTCAACTGCTCCTCTGAGAATTAAAGGCGCCGACGAACAAGATATCCCACATTAGCAACTCCCAACAAGTATGATGAAGCCAAGACTCGTTTTCCTCGAGCAGAAAGCCGCAAAAGGAGGCACACCAGCCCACAGAAGTGGGTCCTCCAAAAACAGCGTCCAGAGAACACTGTCGAACAAGCAGTATAGGTGAAAACCTAAAGGTTCTCGTTGTGAAGGGATGCGTACCATGGCCTACTACTAAAATTATATAATTGAATACTTCAATACAATATCATGCACCAGGCGCCGTTGACTCAACCGATTCCTGATTTGTCGTTGATGTCACAAGGGCGCACTTCCCGGTTATTGTCAGGAACACTGCGATTCAGTCTTTATCAATAACGAATATGATGGGTACTGAGCTATAATGATAATATGGGAGATGCTCGCAAGAAGTAGTGGGAGCCAGCACTACTACCAAGGATGTAATAAGGATTGGAATCGCAGAAGTGAATATACTATTGTTTATTGGCAAAAATTGGCTCTATTTATAAATATATTATCAAAATTGACTCTATTTATTTGTCAAAATTTGTTGAGAAACGAATACGCAATCATGCCATTCGTGAATTATAGATGGTAGGAAGGCTCTGGACTTTATTGATTGGTAGAATCGTCCTTCCATTGGGTCCAACGAGACTTGACTTCTTGAATCCTTTCATGATCATCTCTTCCATGAGATTGGCCTTCTTTGGTGGGAAGTGGACGGCTTCGGCGACTTGTCGGTCACGCATACCAACAAATTGGGCCGAAAGTTGAGCGCTTTTCGTTGTCTTGCGGTAGACTTCGGCGATGGCTTCGTCGTCGGCGGCCCCCCCATTAATCCACTGATTTGATTGTTCCATTAGAACTGCCAAGATTGCAGTTTCTTTGCTCTTCTTTCGGATCGCATAACCATTCCTGGTGCGACCCTCGAGGCCTCGAGTACAGTACTTCTTACCATTTCCACAGCCGCGTTGCATCCTCGCGATGATCCGGAAACATGACTTCGAGATTTCATTCATTTCCTTACCACTGTACCATGTTGCCGTGATCTCTCTGGGCGAGTAATTGTAGATACTCAAGACTGCACGACCTTTGACGTTTGTGTTGAACGTAACTCTTGCCTTGGGCTTTGTGGTTCTTGCCATTGCTTTAGATTGGTGTTGTGGGCTCTGCATATTCCTTTTTTTTGTGAGATGAGAAAAAAGTCCGGTCAGGAAATATTGTTGAAAAGAAATCCGAGATTGAGATGCGAAAGGTTGCGGGAAGTAGTATTTTGCAGAGTCAAAATATCGCTCACTGGAATCTGAGAAGCAATTACATGTCAAAAATATCATCTATCGTCACTTCATAATATAGCGTCACTTCTTATCAGGACAGATTCCCCATGTGTAAAATACTTGCGAGTGAATACTGATTTTGATATCTTGGCACATCAACTTCAAAATGGAAAAAAAATATTCATTCGTACGTTGTTTCTTTCCGAAGCATTTCACCGGAATCGAACAAGATTAGATGTGTACGATGCAGCGCTTCCTTCGTGTCAAGAACCACTCTCTATGTGTAATGAGTAAACATGAGAGTGAATATCAACTTGGGTAGTTCTAACTGAGAACAGGATACTTAGCGGATCGTTTTTTCTCTCCTTCATTGTAGACTGTACAGCTCTAGTAAATGAATCAGAAGAAGAGAAGAATCGATCAACTGGAAATAGGGAAGTCTGATCAAGAAGAATGCGCCACTGTGTTGGTACTAAGATGTTATGTGCGATGCGCTGGAAAGTGAGCAAGTCGTTTATAACCCGGACCGCATGTACACAAAGAAACATTCTCAAGAGTTCACCGTAGTAAGCGAAGTATTCATATGTCGGCTCTGGATGTAAACAGCCAATCTTGTTGCGCATAGAGGGTAGGATAATGAGCAAAACTGATTTCACTATATCTGAAAAGTCATTTCATTATATCTCTATCGTTGTATTGTAAATGATGAACGACGACTGATCAAGAATGTCGGGGGTGTTGCAGTTGCAAACAAAAAGCCAACGGTACAAATTGCAACATCAAGCCGCACGAGCACCCCGTGGCTCAAACATGCCAGGTAGCCTTTTGGTCCGATTGCGGTTTTGTTGCTTTCGGAAAGGCATTGTTCGATTTTGTTGGACGGGAAGTTGGACATTTGTATGGATAGCTTCGTAGATATCTTCGGAACAAAGAATGGCAGTCTCATTATCGCGTTTTCCCACGACTTGGGCCCATAGTTGGCAGCTTGTGGTCGTTCTTCTATAGGTAGCACCAATAGCTTCGGCGTCGACTCTGTTTTCAACTCGCTGCTTGGATTGTTCCAATAGGACAGCCGTCAATGCAGTGGACCTGTTCTTTCTCTTACTAATGGACCCAATTGTAGTGTGGCCCTCGAGTCCTCGAATACAGTACTTCTTCACTTTTTTTGAAAACCCACTTTCCATTCTAGCTAACACCTTGAAGCACCGATTAGCGATGTCATCCATTTCTTCTCCGTTGAACCAGGCAGCCGAGATCTCGCTGGTTGTATAATCGTAGAGGCTCAGGATTGGAATAATCATCACGTTTGGACTGAAGGCTACTCTTCTATTGGGATTGGTGGTCATGTTTTTCGTTTCTTGTTTGCTATTCATGGTATTGTGGCATGATCGTGATGGCAAGGCGGAAGAAAAAACCTTGATCAGAAGCTGTTGACGTCGACGCGCTTGAGACGCAGCATGATTTTTCGCGTTCAATGGAAAATACTTATAAAAGGAGCTCGCAAATGGTCCCGTAAAATAATGTACACACGATATACACGATGCTAACACACACACTGAATCCGAATTTCACTGTGCGAAACACCATGCTTTGACTCCATCCATCTTGCTTGGAGGAATTGTTGAGGCTGATCATGATTTGAATACCTCTCTCCTTTTGTGTGTGTTGAGGATGTTTAGCTAGAATGAAATCATTTAGAGGTCTGAAGGAACCTGTTACTCCTGACGGACGTACACCAGACATAGCACGGGGTGGAAGCACGGGTTTCGGGTTGGTTGCCTTCTTGCCTCGACTGGCCTCTTGGTCCTGCCTTCGTCAGAACCAGGTAAAAAGAGGGTCGCAAAGTGTTTGTGATTCGTAGCAAGCAGGATTTGACGTCTGCAATATTTCTTAGAAATCAATGGGAAATGCAGGTCAAGGATTACCGGGATGGATCGAGGGAAAGAGGTAGAGCAAAGGGACAAGAAGAAGTAAGGCCTGATGCTACTACGACGAACAAGAAACCAATTCACATTGCAACGAGAACGAGGAGTATCTCTCGCTCTTCACGGTTACCTTTTTTTTGGCTTTCCGGAAAGCATTAGCGTTAAGCAGGCATCATCAAAGATTGTTTCATCTTCAAGTCTGCCATCAGCAACGCATCTAAGTTGGGGAACAATTGATGCCATCTGTTTTGAGGCGCGACTGTTCTGTGAAGTCCCTCGAACCTAAAAGAGCTTCTGAAAGATAAACCGAGAAAAGTCAATAATCCATATAATAAAACCTATGAGGTTGGAACCAAATTGCCCCCCCCCCCCCCATGCAATCAATCAATAATCATCGTTTTCGAAAGGAAAGGCGACATCGAGTGATACAGAGACATTTGGGTGCGCTTTTGTTGAATCGTCGGGGGAAATGAAGAAAGAGAATGCTTGGGGCTTATATGTAATGATCGAATGCTTGGGGCATACATATATGAATATGTGAAGATCGTCTTCAAGATTTTTGTTGACGATCGTTTCATTCTTTTGCCCACTCGGTTTTTCAGACAATTAGGACCCTGCCAATCAATATTTTGAAACAGTGCACATTTGGTTCCTTTTGTTTTTCCGAAAGCCACCACGTCATTTATTTTTAATTAATATAAATACCGGTATTAATACATGCCGATTAGAAATTTTGAGATCTCTCCAAATTTGAAACATGTGAAGATCATATAAAAAGCATATCAATAGCTACTGTACTATAATACCAAAATCATCATGACTACCATGCCTCTCCAGTCATACTTTTCCAACATGCTCAATGCACGAGGTATCCATCCCAGCCAAGTAAGCATTGTCATCGACAGCCAATCTCCGCGATCGTCAATGGTGGTAATGATGCCATCACAGCCACAAGAAGCACATGATAGTATACAGGAGGATCCTGCCTATCTGATATCAACTTCCATAGCACCACTACAACGAACATTTCCTGGATCTGACTCCATGACCACGCCATCCACATATCACGATAACACCACCAGCAAGTGCATAGTGGGACCGTGCAAGAATTGATGTCCTACCGGTACTCTGGTGACCCTGAAATAAAAAGTACGCGGCGATCGGTTTGTACTACCAATACATGATGTCCATCGGCACATCAGTAAGCTTGATCCTTCCAGCCAAATTATGAACTAAATACGCTTGGACGTAGTTCGAAAGCTACATCAGCGTTACTATATCACACACAACTAGAATAGATCCTGCATGTATTTTTCATTGGCTCTACACCACCTTACCTGTATATAAAATGTCTCGAATACTCCAATCGTGCTGATGGCAAAAGGATCGCTTCAAGCTGTCAAAGGAGTAAATCATTCACTCTAAGAAGGTTGTGTAGCAAGGGTTGATGAATTAATGGCTATGGTTTCTATGTGTCTGAATAAAGCCTCCTAGTACTTTGAATAAGCATTCAGTAACACAAAAAACGGACATCATTGAAACGAAAGGATAGTGGCGACAGAGGGGTACCGAGACATACAAGAATGACACAACCATCAGTAAGATCCACGAATGGATGATTCCGCAGGACTACGGCAGCTCGTAGGGTTGGTTGTACATTCGTATGGCGATTTTCTCGTTCCCCCTTGTCCTTGTCAACGAATTGGACCACTGTGGTTTCCTTCACCGAGAAACAAGATTATTGTCAGGAATCAAAAAGTTATCATCTTCGATACCATAGTAATCGATTACATGATGACCGTCCGCATTCCGTCATTCCATCTCGTTTGGCTGTTTCATGATACATTTTCTCTGTTAGCAAAAGCTTGCCAACGTCGTTTGGGTTTTGATCTCGCGAGTTCACATCGCATGGGGGTGTCTACGCTATGCTCAGCACCGGACTAAACCTCCAAATACTTGATATCGTCCGCTATTTTTGCTTTCCGATCGGCATCTTCGACCACACGACCAATGATCCATGATTCGGATCCATCTGCCTCCTTGACAGAATTCATGTACCCTTCAGCTTGGTCTGGTGGCAAGCAAACCATGAGTCCTCCTGAAGTTTCAGCAGAGTAACCAACCGTAAGTCTAAAGTTGAAGACTTTATCGTTGACATCCTTCGTACCCGCAATGAGAGGAAGCGTGTGCAGCTCCATCCCCACGTTTGCAATTTGGTTTTCCATCAAGTTTTGGGCATGTCCAAGGATTCCAAATCCAGTAACGTCAGTGCATGCTTTGGCTCCATGCTTCAGCATCAGTCTACCGCCATTCTTATTTAGACGGGCCATACTGCAGACAGCTTGGTGCATCATTTCTTCAGCTTGTTCTTCCGTGATAACTTTCTCATCCATGATTTGCTTCCAGTGCTTGCTTCCTACCGTATTCCTCCACTGATGCACATTGACCGCAATCTGAGTTCCCAACGGCTTAGTAAGTACAACGACATTACCAGCTTGAGCGCCATCGGAGGGCACAAACTCGCCCTTCGCAACCACTGCTGTGGCGACTCCCCCAATGATTGGCCAAGGATTTAATACAGTTTGTCCTCCAGTGATGGCCGTTTCAGCCTCATCACAGGCATCCCTAAACCCCTTGACCATTTCAGAAGTACATATTTCACGTTGCTCTGTCGGCATTTCCCGACAGGCTGCCAAAAGCATGAGAACAAAATCACAATGTTCCACACCTTCCGCATACAAATCACTCAAAACATTAGCGGCCCCAATCCGCCCTTGTAAATATGGGGAATCCACCAACGGAAAGAAGAAATCCGTGGTAGAAATGACGAAATTCCCCTGCCTTGTTTCTCTTACGGAACAATCCAGGGCAATCTTGCCAGAGGCGGTTCCCAAATTCTGTCCATCTCCCAAATTCAGGTTGGCCAACATGTGCTGCAATTCGTCCTGCGGAATCTTACAGGCTCATCCTTTCAGATCGGAAAAGTCCGTAAGCGTCCATCCTTTGGGGAGTCCGACTGAGGTAGGATCAAAATAGACCGTCTCCTCCTTGGTAGGTTTGTATTGTTTCGTCATGTTGACAAACGTGCCTGGTACTGTAGTGTGGGAGAATAGGGTAGGTTTGGTATGATGTCAGAATACCCGAAATATTCTGAGGTTTGGGACATAACGTCTTGCCGTCACCCGCACACGAATTCAGTCGAAGAATACAGTACGATACCGGTCGGTACCGGTACCATGCAGTATTATAAATACTCCTGGCGCTTTATGGGCCCCCACACATCCATCATTTTTTAAAAATGTCATTTTCGATTAAAAATCACAATTGATTGGAAGTGTTGCTAGCTTAACTTTATCTTTGCTGTTTACGTGCATTCGAGTATCTGAACTGAAAAGTCTAAGGATCGCACTTTACAGAGGTTCCTCCTGCCCCCTGCTCGGTCGTCGTGGTGCGGCCATCAACAGCCCACCAGCCATGCTCCTCCTCGCCGTGGCCGTTTCCTGGCTGGGATTCGAAGCGACACGGAATTGATATCGCTGTTGATCCTTGATGCAAAGCCATTGCAGGGAATTATGTTCTCCTCGGCCTAGCGAAATTATTGGAGCAGGCCGCCCGCCAGCAGTGCACGTCGACCACGATGTCGATTTGTTGACTTTTTGTCTTCAACATCATCTACAGGCAGTTCAATGTCGATGGGCGCAAGGTGTTCTTCTTCACCACTGACGATGGTTTTCGAGGGGAGCATGATGCTTGTGGCTGGACCTTTGTTGGTGCAGTTTGAGGATAGTATCGGCGGTGATTATGATTGTCAACCACGATAGTAACTTGAGTGGGATCAAATCCTTTTGCTTCGAGAAGATCAGAAAAGAAAGATGTAAGCGGCATGGTGTTCATTTGATTTCCTTTGGGTTTTATTTTTTAATTCAGATATTTTGTGACTGAAGCTTGTTTGTTGTGAACTTGATGAGCTCATTGAAATTCCGATAATTTTCTCACACATTGAGAATGTCCGATATCGTGGCTGTGGTCTTGGAAAAAAAAGCCTTTCGGATTTCTTTAGTATGAGCAAGGCATTCTGCCAGCAATTGTGAACTTCGCAATGTTCTGTTGTTTAACTCTACAATGCATCTGATTCCCGCCAGCTCGTTTAGTTCCGCAGAGATATCGGCACTTGTTCGACGAATGCAAGATAACTCTTATGGTGACATATTTTGCATATGAAATGACGATGTCCGACTGGACGCTCTCATCCGCAACAAAACATCCAAATATTCGACTTCAAGCTCGAGGAACAACAAAAATCATACCAGATTCCTGCAATTGTGAATCAATATCGGCAGAACAACTTGTTTGTTGTGAACTTGATGAGCTCATTGAAATTCCGATAATTTTCTCACACATTGAGAATGTCCGATATCGTGGCTGTGGTCTTGGAAAAAAAAGCCTTTCGGATTTCTTTAGTATGAGCAAGGCATTCTGCCAGCAATTGTGAACTTCGCAATGTTCTGTTGTTTAACTCTACAATGCATCTGATTCCCGCCAGCTCGTTTAGTTCCGCAGAGATATCGGCACTTGTTCGACGAATGCAAGATAACTCTTATGGTGACATATTTTGCATATGAAATGACGATGTCCGACTGGACGCTCTCATCCGCAACAAAACATCCAAATATTCGACTTCAAGCTCGAGGAACAACAAAAATCATACCAGATTCCTGCAATTGTGAATCAATATCGGCAGAACAACAAGCGCTCAGACAGACTTTGTCAAACTATTTTTATGATGCCCACAGTACATGGTAGGGATATATAAGTAGGTACTAGTCCTAAGACCCATACCAGATTATGGATTATTGAAAGTTCCATCATGCAAATGCATGAATCGACGATTCAGGTTGAGATTCAATTGTTCGAGGGTTAGTTTCTATGGCGGTCTTCTTTCAACCAATAGCGCCAACAGCTACAGCCAAACATGCGGCAATAAAAGTTAAAAACTAATCTGATCATATCTTATTTTAAGAAGCTGGATCGTTTGCAAGGTTTGTAACTTCATTTTATCTTTGGTTTGTAACGTTGCAGTAGCGAATAATTTGTTTAGGAATCATGGCGATTGTTCAAAATGGTCCTTCTGCTCCTGGTAGTAGCGATGCTCCAAGGAGCGACAGTTGCGTTGTTCGATCTGTCCTTTTGAATATTGCTTTCAGTTGGACTGAACCAAGTGGAGTAACGGCACTGTTTTAAGATTTGGGCTTGGGTTCCTAACTCCTCGTGTCCAGAAGAGTGGTCTTGTTGGTCGTGAATCACTGAAGCTTGGATGCAATGGTAGGCGATCGGAAAACAATTTGCTCCTCGGTATCTTCATTCATGATCATTCAAAGCAAGCAATGGCAAAACTGGAGCAGTTTACCAGCATAGTGCTCGTCGACCACGACGTCGACTTGTTGACTTTATGTCTATAGGCAGTGGAATGTCGCTGAGCGCAACAAGCTGTTTGTCTTAACCACTGACTATAGTTTTCGAGGAGAACATGATGATGGTTTGTCGTCATTTGGTGTACTTCGAGGATATCGGCAATTATTATGATTATCAACCACGATAGTAACTTGAGTGGGATCGAATCCTTTTTCTTCGAGAAGTGTAGAAAAAAAAGATGAAAGAGTCATGGTTCCAAAGTTTATTTTGTTGGGCTGTATTTTTTCAATTCAGTTATTTTGTGACTGTAGCTTGTTGGTTCTTGGTTGTGAACTTGAACTTGAACTTGCACTTGAACTTCATTAAAGTCCGACATTGTTCTCAACACATTGAGGAGCATTACGTGATGATAATATTTTATGCTTCAGAATGTCTGATATCGAGACATTTTCAAATTTTGAGCTGTGGTCTTGGAAAATTTCGCTTTTTTGCATGCATTTATATATATATATATATTCACAACGCATGTGTTCGCGATTTTAATTCGACTTCGTGTAGTGCCGCATTCGGCAGTAGTGTACCGAAATTGGCGAATATCAGATAATGATGAAAGACTGGACGTTCTCATACGCAAAAAATATATATTCGACTTGAAGCTCGAGGACCAACGAAAATCATACCAGATTCCAATCGATATCGGCAGAAGAATGGGGAACAAAATGACAGAGTCATTCCAGTCGTTCTACTCTTTGTCGTAACGTCACCTCTCAATCCGATGAAACTAAAGATCAGTACCGGTAGATTTGAAACATCAAATGCACTTAGATAGAAAGAAGAGTTCGCTTGACAAATGCAGACAAAATGTCCATTAGCTTTCGCGATTGAGGGTTGGTTCGTGGTTCCCATGTCCCAACTAAGGCCTGGGACTCACTCTACACGTCTTGCTTTCGCCCACAGAAAAGCATGCGTGCAACCAAGAGTCAAGGTACAACTAAAGTGCTATCTCATCATCCATCCTTACCCTTGAAACAACATGCTTGAGAGAATTTTGATTGGATATCTTTTCCGACTAAGAATCACGGTCGGTTGAAAGATTTGCTAACTTAAAGTGTGGAGGGAAAAAATCTCAAAATCATGGTATTAATATTAGGATATAATAATTCTTTTTTTTAGTGCTTATTTTCCGGTACCCGTGGTACTGGTTTTCCTCGTCAAAGTCGTATCCTAACTTGAATCGGCGCAGCTTTGAAACTGTGGGATTGTATTCCTTACTCCTCGTGTCTAGAAGAGTCTTGCTTGGACTTAGATGCAAAGCAGATGTGTATATTGATGATCCTTCTTGATGAAAAGCGATTTGGAAATGTTGTCAAGGACAAAATTGGAGCAGGCCACCAGCGGTGCTAGCCGATCACGATTTCGATTTGTTCGTTTGATCTCATCTACATGCAGTTGAATGCCGATGAGAGCAAGGTGTTTGTCTTCCCCACCGACGATGGTTTTCGAGGGCTTGCTGATGGCTTGTCGTCCTTTGGTGTTGTTCGAGGATATCGGCGGTGATTATGATTGTCAACCACGATAGTGACTTGAGTGGGATCGAATCCTTTTTCTTTGAGAAGATCAGAAACGAAAGATGAAAGAGGCATGGTGTTCATTTGATTTCGTATGGGATTTTTTTTTTAGCTGCGATGATTTGTGAGCGTCGTTGTCAACTTTGTGAATGAAACTTTTACCATGCGGAAGAAAGTCCGATAATTCTTTTGAACAAGGAGCGTTACATGCAGTATCAAGATACAGAAAAGTCCGATATTGCTGTTGTTTTCGAGCTCAAGCTGATTCGCCGAGATCTTCGCATGTTGGACTCAAAACTATTTATGTTTGAAAAAAAGGCTCGGTATGTTGCCTGGAAAATGTTGTCGCCGCAATATTTGTCGTTAAACATCCGCCAAGCGACTATTCGCCGCATATGAAGTAGACCTCGTTTAGTTCCGCTGGGATATCGGCAGTAGTTGTGAAAAGGACCAACTACACCAGGTTACTCTTGTACCGGTAGTGTACCTGCATTGCGTTCTATCGTGCAAATGTTGATATATCACACTATTACGAAACTGCGACTGGCTACATATGCGCTATAAGTAAAAGTCGAGCGTAGTGTTGTGTTGGTTCTGAACGAAATCGGGAACCAAGAAAATCGTACCATGTGCTGTACTGTAGTGCCCGAGCGAACTACTAGCTAGGTGTACCCGTACCAGGTACCCTTACCAGATTATGGGCTATTTCCGATCAAGCAAACAATACAGCTGACGTGCCCTCCAACTTCAAACAAGAGACGCTCAGGTCCGCTAACTACTGTAACTGTCCGAGTTCGATCTTCTTTTCTTTCTACTTCCGGGAGAAACCGGTGCTAAAATCACACCAGATTATAGACAGCTGCTGTTCACCAGGCAAAGGTATATATGTATGTATATCGGTTCGTACCAGATGAGCTTTTCCAACCAGACAAACATGTGTGCCAAACTAAATGTCCGACTTCGAGCTTGTTTTCTAACTACCGGTACCAGCAGTATTCCTAGGAACATCAGATACTAAAACAATGCTACTACACAGTACCAGATTATGGATTATTGAAGTTCGATCATCATCTGATGATCGGACGTGTGTGTTTCAAGTTGACGTTGAAGGCAGTTTACTCGACGTTTCCTTTCATCATCGACCATCAGCCAATTACACCGAAGCATACCTATACACGGATTCCTGCTACTAGATCCTAAAGTATAATCTTATTATCATTTCTATCGCACTTTAGTCTTTCTTCTTGTCAGCAGTAGTGTTTCCGCTTTTAACAGCAACAAGGCATTTTCCAATGGACGCTCCAGTGAATAGATGATTCAATGCCTTTGGAAATGACTCAATGCCTGTTTCGATATGTTCGTTCATGGTTACCTTCCCCCGTAGATTCAACCAGAACATTCCAAATAGCATGAATGGTAGCTTGTGCAAGTACTGCATGACATTGAATCCCTTCATGGTAGCACCGCGTTCGGCCAGTTTGAGGTAGTTCGAAGGACCTTGGACAAGTCCCTTGTTTAGCTTGCCAGAGTTGTATTGGGAAACGGCACCACAAATGACCACACGTGCATTTGGATTAATCTTGAGCAACATATCGTCCAAAATTTGTCCACCAACATTGTCGTAAATGAAATCAATGCCATTGGGGCAGGTCTCCTCTAGTTGTTGCGCCACCGTCTTGGTGGAATCCTTGTAGTCCACGGATCCATCCAATTGCAAGTCGTCTATCAAATATTGATTCTTGCGGGGGCCTCCCGCAATACCAATAACTAAAGAATTGGAATAATAATACGAGGTATGGTGAGTGCATGATAATGAACATCAAAACGTTTGTCATGGTTCAATTCAAGTGTGCTCGTACCTCTGGCACCTGTGCTCTTGGCCAGTTGCACCGCGACCGAGCCCACGGCTCCCGCTGCAGCAGTGATCACTACGGTGTCTCCCTTTTTCGGTGGTTTGCAAACATAGAAGATGCCGGCATAGGCAGTGAATCCAGTCGTCACACCCAGCAATCCTAAGGATGCTGTGGAACTCATCCTTGGCAAATCCATTTTTGGGAATGCGTCAGAGGCCTTGACGGTAGCAAATCTCTGGGCACCCATCATGCACTGGACTGTAGAGCCGACCTTTTTGTTGGCATTCTTTCCAGAGTATACCACCTTGCCGTAACCAAGTGCGGGAATGGTTTTTCCTAAATCGATTGCGCCATGGTAGGCTTCTTCATCGAGCATGGTTCGGATAAAAGCATCCACGGAAAGGGTGTCTACTTCGATCACAATTTCGTCGTCCCCACAGGATGTGGCCATGTGCATTTCTTCGGATACCATTCCAGCGTCCTTTTCGGGATCAAAAGCTCCTTGAGGTCGTCGTTTCAAGATCCATTTGGTGTTTGTGACTGTGTCCGTCTTGGAAGAAACTCCTTCTGACATGGTGGTTTGGTCTGCCTTTTTAGTCGCTTGAGTTGGATTGCACATGATGCTGATTATTATTATTATTATGAGGATAAGGTGGATGAATGCTTTGTGATGCAATCGTATTATGTTCATTCCGAAAACAATTCTGGCTGTCTTGGTCAGAAATTGATGTGGTTTTGTGATGATTGCTACTGGTACACTACGTGTACTAAATATAATATTCAATATGCGCTGAGTCAGTTTACTTCGGTGGTGGTTTCACTTTTATGGCAAAATCTGGAGTATGAGCAAATTGGTACAGTAGCTGTTCTAACATCCAACATCGTTAATGCAGCTTCATCGTGAGTAGATATAAAGCATGTGATGTCTATCGATATGTAATGAAAGACTTGTTGACTCCATGCAGCACTGTACCAGGTACGGGGATGACCCACATCCACTTGCGATGATGGCATCAATGATGACATCATCTGAATTACGATACGTCAGCCCTTCGACCGTATTCAGAAACACCATTTTCTATGCAAATCGGCTAGCACGTGCCAAAATGCCTTAAAATGTGTTCTCTGTCATAAATAGAATCGGTTCGTACCAATTTCATTATGTGTATGACACACATCTTTTAGGCATTTTCACGGACAAAAAAGGCGGACGAACCAATGATTTAGCCTGCGACCGGCAATATCTTCAACATCTGGCATCTTTCGTCGACGAAGATTGATTGTTGTGGATTCTCACTTAATTTTTCAGATCCAACGATCGGCTGAACATAGCGCAATCAATTTCAAACTTCATCAGAACAGTAGACACGACAGTTATTCTTATCATCAACCATGAGATCGTTGACAATCAGTGCCTTTTTCTTGGGCCTTGCAAATGCTCAACGATGTCCTGGAATTTGCATCAATGATGGCGAACAGCTGCTGAATCCAACCGAGCCGATTTTCTTGAACAGTGGCACTCAGTTTTGTGCTACTCTGAATGATATTTCAAGACAGATCGTGAACAACGCAGTGCAATGTGAGGACAGCGCCATCCAGGCTATTGCGCTTGGTTGCGAATGTGGTGTTCCACCAACACCCACTCTCGCGCCTTCTCCTGCTCCGGTGGTTCCAGATTTGCCAACCCTTGCTCCAGTGGTTCCAGGTCAAGAACCATGTCTTGGAATTTGTCCCGGCGGTACCTTGCTCAATCCAAACCGAATTATCACAATTCCTGGACAAACCGCAGACTTTTGCTTTGTCATTGACGGTCAACTCCAAGAGATCGTTGGTAATCCCACCCAATGTAATACCCTCTCCACTTCGGCACGTATCAGTGGCTGCCAATGCGAGGGTGTCCCCACTGCCACGCCGTCCATGAACCCCACACGCACTCGATCCCCTACACCCAGGCCATCGGTGAATCCTACTGGAACGCCAACTGGATCCGCCGCACCCACCCGTAGCGCGTCTCCTACCAAGGTTCCCACGACTCCTGATCCCACAGGATCTCCCACCACTCCCAAACCTACGGCAGCTCCTGGCCCTTGCAGCGGTGTCTGCTACGATGCCAGCCTCACCGTGGCGGACCCTGATTTCATTATTGTTGTGCCCAACGCCAATGGAAATGGAATCATCACCGAAACTTGCGGGGAGGCAGATGCTCGGTACCGACAAATCGTTGCTCCCGGGGGTGTCTGTGAGACCTTTTCCCGCTCGGCACAAAACAATGGATGTTCCTGGTACGTATATTGTCATCATTATGAATGTCACAGATAGATACCATACATGCGGAACACAACTTGCTCACACACATGTTTGTCTACGCCCTTGCTCTTTTTTTTTCGGGTTCTCAGTGTCGCACCCGTCGAATGTCCTGGCATTTGCAACAGTGGCCTAGTCACCCCTAAAAGTGGACAACAAATTGTCACTCCTGACTTGTTGGTAAACATCGATGGCCGACAAGATACTTGTGCCAATTGGGATGCCCGATGGGATGGTACTACCAGTCCCGTGTTGTGCGAAAGCGTTCCGTCCAAAATCTCCCAAGCCTTGTCGGCTGGATGCAAATGCGACGTTCCCGTGGACTGCGAGGGTCTATGCCCCGGCGAACAAGTGACGACTCCCAACGTGGTTGTGTCCTTGTCGAATGGGGTAGAAGCTCCTTGTAGTCAGCTAGATGCCGAATTTGATGCCACTATCGATCCCGGCCGATGCAACGAGTACACACCCTTCAAGGCAGAAATGTTGAACAATGGATGCCGATGTGGAACTCCCATTGATTGTGATGGACTTTGTCCCGCTCTCAATGAAGAGCTCTTGACTCCCGACTTGCTAGTGGACCTACCCGCTGGAACTTCAGCCACTTGTTCTTCCTTGGACTTGCTAGCTCGTCAATTGATCGATGAGGGCTTGTGCACGGACAGTATCAACGAAGCCTTGGCGGCTGGATGTCGCTGTGGCGAACCGAAAAAGTGTGACGGTATTTGTCCCAACAAGGACCGTAAGCTTTTTGATAAAAAGTTTGAGATTACAGTTCCTTGGACGGGTGAATTGGAAGAATGTGATAAGGTCGAAAAGGAAATGAAGGACACTATCATTGATGAAATCGTCTGTCTCGAGCGAAGAGAAGGTGCCATTCAAGCTGGATGTCAATGTGGAGAAACCACTGAAAGTCCCTCCATGATGCCTTCCATCTCCGCCGCTCCATCTCGCGCTGCTTCTTCCAACCCCACTGGTGTCCCAACAGGAACACCACCCACCGTTGCGCCCAACACTCCTCTTCAAAATGAACCAACAGTCACTGGAGGAGAACCAACCATTGATGGAGGTGATGAACCCACTACTAATGACCGCAGTCCTGGCGAACTTAATTCTGCTTCGGGCAACAACAAGCAGTACTTGATGATGACGGTCGTGACCATGGTGGCTGCCGTTGGTGTGGCTTTGGGATTGTAAGATTGATCTCTTTCACTTATGGGGTTTGTTGTATTAGTTTGTTTCCTGTGTTAGAATAACCTTCACTTATTATTTTAAAATACATAGTTCAATTCATAATATATTTTATATCATACCGGTACAACAACTGGTCTTAGACCTATACTACCGTATTGAACTTTCTGGTTGCGGTCTTCTTTTGAGCCTCTCTACTCCTTCTTTTCGGTCACGTACGAGAATTGTCGCGGATCAAGCGGGCCGAACTGACACGCGTACCGTTCACATCTGAACGGTATTATTTTGTCGTTAAGTAAAATCCCAAAAGGCGCGGCAAAAAGGTGCAATGTCCGTGAGGCAGCAGGCTTTCCAGATGGCAAGGGCATCACCAGTGGTTTTGGTGGCTGTGTCTTAATATTGTGAGAGGGAAAGTTTTGGTCTTTTCAGGAAGGATAAGGAAGAGATAGTAGAATGGCATCAACAGAGGTAAGACACTTAGAGGCTCTGAGGGACAGGATTGGAGAAAATGAGAGGAGTGTTCGCAAGTGAATCGCCGCGTATTTTGAGTCATCGGAGAGGTGATGTCGTTCTTCACTTATTACTATCTTGAGTTGCGATAAATTTCTCAGTGTTCTCATCATTCTGCCACTTTTACCAAACCGCATTGTAGGAAGTGCCCAAGACGGAAGAAGCCGCTGCCCCAGCTGCTGCCAGTGACGACGAAACTGGCAAATCCAAGCGAGTTTATGTTGGAAACTTGGCCTGGGGTGTCGATTGGAGAGACCTTAAGGATCTCTTCAAGACCGTGGGACACGATGTTACACGAGCTGACGTCATGCAAACTCGAGATGGACGATCCAAGGGATGCGGAATTGTGGAGTTTGCCACTGTGGAAGGTGCCAAACAAGCTGTGCTCACTCTGAACGATACTGAACTGAAGGGACGTCAGATTTTTGTCCGAGAGGATCGTGAAGAGCAGAATGCTGGTGCTACTCGTGCAGCTCCTGCCAATAGTGCTGGAACCAAGTTCTCTTCGGATGAGAAAGCACAGGGTCGAAGAGTGTATGTTGGTAATCTTAGTTGGGAAGTTCAATGGCAAGATCTCAAGGATCACATGATGCCAGCTGGCAATGTGGTTCATGCTGAAGTTATTTGCGAGCACAATGGAAGATCCAAGGGATGTGGTGTTGTCGAGTACGCCACTACTGAAGATGCTCAAAAGGCCATTGAAACTTTGACTCAAACTGAATTGAAGGGACGCATGATTTTTGTTCGTGAAGATCGTGAAGGATCCTCTGCTGGTGAAGGTGCTACTGGAGGCAACAAGAACGCTGCCCCAGGCGGTAACGCTGCTGTTTACGTATGGAACTTGAGCTATGAGACGGACTGGCAAGGACTGAAGGATCACATGCGAAAGGCTGGTAACGTTGATAACGCCACCGTTTTGACCAACCATGAAGGCAGATCCAATGGATGTGGTGTGGTTGTCTACCAAAAAGCGCAAGAGGCCGCCAGAGCCATTCGCGAATTGCAAGATTCCGATTTGGATGGACGTGCCATTCGTCTCCGAGAAGATCGTGGTCAAGGAGGTGGTGGTAGTGGCGGCGGCGGCCGCGGAGGACGTGGTCGTGGCCGCGGGGGTGGCCGTGGCCGCGGAGGACGTGGTGGTGGTCGAGGCTCGGGAGAGCCATCAGAAGGAAAACAAATCTACATTTCCAATATTTCTTCCACTACTGATTGGCGCAAGGTCAAGGATCATTTCAAGACAGTTGGTGATGTCGATAGAGCAGACTCGCGCCCTGGCAAGTTTGCAACTGTTCGATTCTTCAACAAGGAAGATGCCGAAAAGGCTGTCGAAACTATGAATGGATCCGAATTGGATGGTTCCAAGTTGGAAATTCGTTTGGATCAAAAAGCCTAAGAACCGGTTTTGTTTGGATAGCTTCATATCAACGTGGTTGTGATAATGTCTCGTGTTATAATGTGGGTGATGTGCTTTTGAAATGAAGCGAGTCTAGTAAGAGTTCCTAGCGCCTTTTTGGGGAATGGACGGCAAACTCATATTTCTAGTTGAAAAAATAAGAATTAATGAATTACAATGCATTGATCAAACATGAAGTTGCTAGCTAGAGGTGGCATATTGGACGACTGAACTTGGCAATCTTTTCAAATGCAATGGGTGGTTATGCTGAGAATGAATCGAACCACTCGACCGCAACGATGTTAGATTCAAGATATGAATATATCATCCTTCGCCGATCTTCGCTTTTTTGTTTTCAGTACTCACCTGTATCATACTGCATATCAAACATCAGACGTAGCAGTACAGTACCACGAAACAATCATTGCTCCCATGCCTTCAGCAAAGTTCTTGTATTGATAAACATGAGGAAGCTAGAAAAGCTGACATTGGTGTTGCTGGCTTCGCTGGAACTATCCTCAGGTGCCTTTGGTTGGATGCCGATTCAACCGGACTTCTTTGTGGTTGGTGGTTCCAATAAGCCAATAATAACAAGCAACTCCAAGAGACGGAAATCTTTAGTGACAACTTCACTCAGTACCAATCCGAATTCTGAGGAATTGGAAACTGAAACAACATCAGAAGCATCATTACCAGGAATTGATTCAGCACGGGAACTCTATCCACAATGGAACGTCCTTTTCAATAATGGAAGATTGGAAGTGGATCCAACGCATACTCTGAGTTATCAAATTCTTGGGAAACCGAAACCAAGCTCACTGGAACAAAACTTGCCTACAAAGTCTAAGGGAAAGAAACTAGTTGGACTATTCTTACATGGAGGTCCTGGTGCTGGATGCTTTCCAAATCATGCACGATTCTTTGATCCAGAACGGTATTATCGAGTGGTCTTGTTGGATCAGCGAGGATGCGGAAAATCGACACCCACTGGATGCTTGACCAATAACACCTTGCAGGACTTGGTGGATGACTGCGAAAGACTGAAGTCGCATTTGCAAATTCCTCATTGGGATGTCGTCTTGGGAGGCAGCTGGGGGACGACAGTTGCCATTGCCTATGGTCAATCTTATCCAAAATCGGTTCGATCCATTATTCTACGGGGAGTATTCTTGTTTCGGCCGCAAGAAGTAGATTGGCTGTTTGCGAGTACTGGTGGCGCAGCAAAGAAGTACCCCACTGTATTCCAATCGTTTTCTGAGGCTGTGGGTGTTCAGTTCGAAGCGAAAGATGATAGTGCTGACGAGAATGATAGAGCAATATCCCCATCAGCTGCATTGCATGAGCACACTCGTCGTTTATGGGAGGCACCAACAGAAGAAGAAAGAAAAAAGGCAGCCAGATCGTGGATGCAGTGGGAGTTTTTCAATTCCGTTGCACACAAGATTCCATCATCCGCAAACCTGACGAATTCCAATACAACTATGGAAGCCATTCGATCGTGGAAACCTCCTGAGGTACCACCAGTTGCTTTCACGAGCAAGAGTCAATATATTGATGAAAGTAAACGCTCGTGGACGTACCAATCTCTTGACCGACGAGTCATTCCCCCAGAAAATCTGACACTCGACTTGTCAAATGTTTTGGACTACCCAGCTGTCCACCAAGCAAAGTTTCGTCGAAATATTTCCAGCGGGTACAGTTTGGATGATCCCCCAAGAGAGACGGTCCCTATTACCACACCCACGATACCATATTATAAAGGGCAGACAGCATACCGCACTTCGAATAGTGACAACTCGAATCTGCCAGTTCAAGCAATGCTCACCAGTTTCTATTCGAGCAACTGTGATCATTGCCGGAACCACTTGAATCTTTTGAACCAAGATAGGATGAAACAATTAGAGGACATTCCAACTACAATAGTACAAGGTGGGTCCGACGGAATTTGTCCGCCCGACTCGGCTTTGGATCTGTTGGATGCTTGGCCCAAGAATGGGACAGTTGAACTACGAATGCCTGTTCACGGTGGTCACTCTATGTATGATCCACTAGTTCGGAATGAACTACTTTGGGCTGTCGATCGCATGGCCGACGCCCTCATCTGCACGAAAGAGGAAACATTAGAAGAGTGACCAGGGAAAAGCTGAAAAACGACTAAGAAATTCCTTTTAACGAGAGATGAGTCGCAAATCCTGCTCCATCTGAAAGATAGAGATGGAATAATATGCCATCTGCTAAGATCACAGACACAAAATGACATTTTTTCCCTCTTCTCTTCTAGATCTTTGCGGTTTCGAGCTTGGAATAATTAAAATCATTGAATTTCACATTGGCAGAACAAAAACTAGTTAAAGCCGCATTATTTCTTCTAGGCTGGGCGCCCCAGGCTCGTTGAAACTGGAATTGCTTGACGTTGTTCGTCTCATCAATTCTTCAAAGTCAATGTATGGCTCGTAATGATTCACTGCCACTTGGACCCTGTTAGTATCATCAATATTCAGCTTTGGTGTAAAGTTATGAATTTCCTTGAGGGCTTCGTGTGTCGTCTTCTGTACTGCCATGATGGGGCATTCGGGATGGCCATCAATCATTTCCATCACTTCTTTAGAATAGCTGTACTTTCCCTCTCGGCCACAAACGATTAGTGCAGCTTCAAACTTTCGATCACTCTTCGTGGATGTCTTGGCTCGCTGAAATTCTCCCAAGAACCCAACAATCAGGTCATCTCTGGTGACGTGGCAAATATACAAGGTCCGGGCCGGCTTCTGACGGAGGTTCTCCAAGAATCTCGTGAGCGAGGTTGTCACAATGTTGACATCACTTGTGTTGTAATGTCGAAGTCTTAGATCGCCCCCTGACAAGAGTTTGGTACCAAAGAGTCGTTCCAAGTCGGCCAGAGCTGGACACCCCAAGAATGGCCGGTCGGGGATGCATCCTAGGAGAGGAATGCCCCAAGTTTGCATCATAGCTTTTGCAATGTACTTTTTGGTCTGTTCATATTTCTCGGGGATGACTTTGTTGATGACGACTCCAGCAATACGAACACCATAATGCTGGCAGAGAATTCGATTGAGCTCTAATTCGTCAAACGCCTTTCCCAATCCACCATTGGCACTGTTGTGTAAATTCACGTCGGAGAGAGTTAAGTGAAAATCGCATAGTACATAGAACGAAAATAGAACTTGAACTTACATCAATACCATGTCAGCTCCCAATAAACTGGCAACTTTTGCATTGTTCAAGCCAACAATACTTCCAACGGCGCAATGGCCGGTTCCCTCAATCAAGACAGCATCTGATTTCTCAGCAATATGGGCCATACTGCTTTCCACTGCTTCTACTTGATCGTCGAAACTAATCTTTCCATCGACATAATCCCGAGTGTATCCTCGGGGGACAATCACAGGAGACATATCCTGATAATTGATGTGATCCAATCCGAAATGTTCTCGGACCAATACCACATCCTTGTCAACACGGATCATTTCGTCAGATCCTTTACTGGATGGAACAGCCACGTGCTGCTGTCCGACTGGCTTGATGAATCCCACCTTATCGAATCTTTTCTTGAGTCCACTCATAATCGCCAAACTGGTGGTGGTCTTTCCAACATGCTGCTTCGTTGCCGCTACGAAAATGGGACGCTGGTGACGTCCAGTAGCTCGATTGTAGGCCCAGTATTTTTGTTGGGACGGATTTTTGAATCTCTTGCCGTATCCATCACTACTGCTGCTGCTGCTAAAGTGCTGAATCCCATTGTGATTGCTGCTGCTGCTGCTGCTGCTGCTGCTGCTGGACATCAGACGACACCATTTTGCGGAATTTCCCGGCAAGCAGGCCTTTCTTGTCAGATGTGGCATACCCATGTTGTATGGAGTCAGTATCCTGATCAGGAATGAGTTGAACGACAATCTCAATGGTTCCCGAACTGTGATGTTGAAAACGAACCCGTCATCGGATATTGGAGTTCTTCGAATATGTCTGTATGATGTCTCTGACATTCGA